ATGCCTTGGTAGCAAAGAGGAGAAGAAGCTCAAGATGATTGTATCTAAGGTGGAGAGGGTCGACCATAAAGGGCCCTCAGGGTGTCAATGAAGGCTCAGGTGTGGAATTGTAGAGGTCTGGGTGGGCCCTCTACAGTTCCCCGGATTAAGGAGGCCTTGAGGCTCCACCATCCAAATTTTCTTTTTCTTTCTGAAGTTAAAAAATCAGAAAAAAAAAAATGTTTTGCAAGTGTAATAAACTGGAGTTTACTGATAATCTGTTTGTGGTTGAGGCCAGAGGAGGTAAAGGCGGTCTGGTGCTGGGGTGGGATGCTGAGATTGAGGTAGGCCAGGTGTATGGGGATAGCTTTTTCATAGCAGTGGAGTTTAGAGATAAAAGACACGATACTTGGAGTTGGGTTGTGTTTGTGTACTTGAGTACTAGAAGAGTGGAAAGGAGAATGCAGTGGAGTATACTTATGCAGGAGAAAACCAAATGGGGCAAGCTGTTTCTCCTAGTTGGGGATTGGAATGACATTTGTAACCCAGGGGATAAGAAATGGGGGGTTAACTAGATCAATGAGGAGCTGCTGGGAGTTCAATGAGTTTTTGGATGGTATGGGGGTGTATGAGTTATCAATGAATGGGGCCCAATTTACTTGGGCTAATAATAGGGAGGGAGAAGGCTTTATGGAGGAATTGCTGTATAGGGTGTTTGTATCTTTGGATTGGCAGAGAGTATTTCCTAACACTCAAGTTCATAACTGGTTCAGGAGTGCTTCTGATCATCAAATGTAGCTGATAAATACATTGGGGGAGGAGGTGAAACATAAAAGGAGATTCATCTTTGATGACAGGTGGATTCAGAAGGAGGGGGTGCAACAGGTGGTTAGACAAGCATGGGAAGGGCAGTGTGAGGGTACTCCTATGTTTACAGTAAAGGAAAAAAAATCAAAAAGGCAAGGGCAGCTTTACTGATGGAGTAGATATTTCAGATCATAGAATGCTCAACAATTCAGCAACTGACCTTGAAGTTGGAGGAGATGAGGAGAGAGGGTGGGGAGAGGAACTGGGAGGTATGGGATAGATTGCAGAGGGGATTAGATGCAACCAATTGTACCGAGGAGGCTTTTTTGAGGCAAAAAGCTAGGGCTTTGTGGTTGAAAGAAGAGGACAGGAATTCAAAGTTTTTTTATGCTTATGTGGCCCAGAGAAGGAAAATGAATAGCATAGACAGACTGCTCACAGGTGAGGGGAGCATCACTCAGAACCCTGCACATATTGAGACGACAATCATTGAGTTCTATGAGCAATTGTCTTCTTCTAAGGGGTGTCAGAATGGCCAGGAGCTGCTGCTTTGTATTCAACCTTCCATTACCAGAGAGATGAATGATATTCTTATTGCTCCAGTGGAAGATGATACCATTAAGAAGGCCATCTTTAGCATTCATCCTGATAAGTCTCCAGGTGAAGATGGTATGACAGGGCTATTTTATCAACACTTCTGGCCTATTATAGGCCCTGATATTTGTACAGCAGTGAAAAGCTTCTTTGACTCGGGGCAGATGCTAAGGTATTAGAAACACTCTCTTATTACTTTCATTCCAAAGTGCCAAAATCCTTTATCAGTATCTCAATTCAGACCTATCAGTATGTGTGTTGTATTCTATAAGGCTATCTCCAAAATATTGGCTTTGAGACTGAGACATGCTTACATCTCTGCAAATCAAAATGCCTTTTTGCCTGGCAGACAATTGATAGATAATGTGATCATAGGGCATGAAGTGTTTCATTTCTTGAATAGACACAGAAGTGGTGAGAATTGCTTCATGGCTTTAAAGTTAGATATTCATAAAGCATATGATTGTGTTGAATGGAAAGCTCTGCAGTTGGTGATGGTGAGGGAATTTCAAAGGTTTGAGGTTATCCAGGGGATCCTCTGTTAACTCATCTAATGTTTGCAGATGACACTTTGGTCTTTTGCAAGGCAGGTGAACAGCAGGCTAGGAGGCTCTTGCTCATACTGAAACAATTCCAGGCATTCACTGGGCAACAGGTTAGTATGGACAAGTCTACTGTGTTTTTCAGTAAGAACACCTCTGAGGTGACCATGCAAGGAGTCTGTGCTTTGTTGACTGGTATTCAAATTCACTCATCCACCAGATATTTAGGTTTACCTCTTGGGATGGGAGGTCCAAAAAAGAATCATTTGATTATGTGTTGAATGTGGTAAGAAATAGAATATATAGTTGGAAAAATAAATGGCTTTCAACCGCTGGGTCTTATCAAAGAAGTGCTCAATGCCCTTCCCATATTTGCAATGTCTTGCTTTGTGTTACCAGCAGGGTTATGTAAAGAGATATCAGCAGTTTGTGGCCAATTCTGGTGGAGTAAAGGTGTTGATTTGCATAAAGGGCTGCATTGGGTGGATTGGAACAAATTGACTCTGAAAAAGAAGCATGGAGGTCTGGGCTTTCAAGATATTAAGTTGTTTAACACAACCATGATTGCTAAGCAGCTGTGGAAACTAGTGACTAAGCCAGAGAGGTTAGTTAGTCAGGTACTCAAATTAAAATACTTTTTTAAATCCACTTTATTTGAGGCTGAGAGGAAGCAAAGTGCATCATGGCTATGGAAGCAGTTGGTTATCAGTGTTGCAGGTCTATGGAAATTGGATGAGGGTGGAAGTAAGAGATGGAAGGAGCACTAGAATCTGGGATAAGCACTGGGTTCCAGATTTTATTGGCAAAGATGTTGAGTTGTTACCTGGAATTGAGAGAGGGCTGGAATGGGTGAAAGCCTTGATGACTGAAGATGAGAGAGGCTGGAATGAGCATAAAGTCAGATCCACCTTTACTCCTGCATTCTGTAATGCTGTTCTGAGCATTCAATCTAATACACCTGATAGAGAAGATTGGTGGATTTGGTCCCTGCATAGAGAAGGCATATTCTCTGTCCAATCCACTTATGCAAAGTTGATTACAGACAAGCTCATTAAACAGATTAATGCGCAGGGCAGTAGAGACTTATTAACTGACTCCAAAGTCAGGAATACAACTTCGACTTTGTAGGTCATGGGGAAATTGAAGCATTTTCTATGGAAATACTGTAATAATACTTTGCCTGTCAACTTACAGCTGAGGGAAAAAGGTGTTGAAGTGGATCATATTTGCAGGATGTGTGGAGAGACAACTGAGTCGATTGTTCATATATTCTCTCAGTGCAGGTATGCTGCTGAGGTGTGGAAACTGGCAATAGTTAGATGGGAGGGTCCACAAGACAATGACTCTTTCAGAACATGGTGGTGGAGGATCTGTCAGATGGATAATTGCGAGGTTTCTGAAGCCAGGATACAGTTATCTACTTATATACTATGGTGGTTGTGGAAATCTCGCAACTTATGGGTGTTTGAGCATGTTAGAAGACCTGCACCTATGGTTATCATAGCTGCCATGAGGGATTGGGATGCATTTGAGCAGGGTAACAGGTGTTAGGTCCTCAGTTTTTCTGTTTTCTTTTTCTTTGGGTTGCTGTTTTTTTTCTTGCTTTCTTAGGTGTTGGAATTGTTTTTTGGGAGTGTTATATGTTTGGTGGGATCAAAGGCTCAGTTGAGGGTAACTGCTTTGGTTTCATGTGTATGTTCTTGGTATGTTGTGTGTGTTCTAGCTCACCTCGAGTGATGCTCCCAGCTTCGGCTTTGTTGTATTGAACGTTGTTTATTTTATGAGAATTCATTCTGTCGTTTGAAAAATATATATATATA